GGCGGACACACGTAGCCGGACACGGCCGGCGGACACGGTCCGGACCGCCGATGGACAAACATAGCCTGGACGCGGCCAGATCCGGTCTGACCAACAGACACGGTCCGGATAGATACGGTGGCAGTATTTCACCGTGGCGAAGTGCTAAGCACACCCGAGGGTATGACGCACGGAGGATGTTTTTTTCCAGAATCAGTCTTCCGAAGAGCTCCCGGTGTCGCGGAAAACCGCAAACATTCGCACGCACCACCCGACAGTCAGGACCAGAACACAAACAGACACAGGCAGGCACAAACAGACACAAGCATTCGGATACACCATCCGACAGTCAGAATGACAACACAGACACAGGCAGACACAAACAGCCAAGCAGCATGCCGTAGACAAACGCAAATTCACCGCAGTCGTGCCATAAGAGCACCCTCGCCTGATGCACCCAGAAGACGCACTGTCTCATGATAAACGCACGCACAAATGGGCGGACGTGAGGGCAGAGACTGCGATCTATATCCGTGCCTTGAAACTTAGACATTTACATTAAATCACGCACGGCGGTCAGCGATGCGCGACCGAACGTGTAGCTCCCAGGACCGAACCTGAGCGCGTCATCGCGTTGTCCGCGGCCGTGGCGCTACGCGTGACAGTTGTTGGATGGCCTCCCCGATCCACACCTTACACAGTGCGGCCGGAGGGCAGCCCCAAGCTCGCTCGGGCCACAGCGTGCTCAGCGTGTCCCTGCGTCCCCGAGCGGGCCGCGTCGGAGCGAGACCCCAGCCGGCGGGTATGTAGGCCGCCGGACTGTCCGGGTGCCCCGGGGCTGGACTGGCCAGAGGCGTGCGCTCTGTAGGTCAAGGCCGATCGCTGAGACTCGGGACTGCGGATCGCTGTTATTCCTCCAGAATTTTCCAGACTCAAACCCACGACCGATAATGTATGTTCGATAATGTTGGCGTTGTTTCGAGGCCGTGCCGACAAGATGGCGTGAAGTGCATGCGCGAAAGGAGTGACTGTTGTTAAAATTAGCGGCCAGAGTGTCCGATTGCAAGCAAAGCATGTTACTGGCATTTGGCTGGTTTGGGCTAGACACACATAACGCAAAGTATGGAAAGGAATTCTACTGGTTGTCTTCAAGGCAGTGAATGTGACAAAAGTTTGGTTCAACGTATTTTGCCTCCCGTGCAGCGTGACCAGAAATCACAGCGAGTCAAGAATCAGATGGTGGCGGTCCACATAGTAAAACGCAAGAAACTTTAATGATAGGTACCCCGTAGCTTGAGGTTTGCGGGACTCAACCACTTTCAAACTGTGGTTTGATCCGATCACTTTCAAAATGTGGTTTATCAATCAGGGGACCTTGAAACGTGATCTTATTTACATCACTGCATTTCTTATCTCCGTAGGCTCATGGTGGTTGGTTGCAACGGTCATGCCGCCAAGTGTAAACTGTACTACTAGCAGTCCAACAAAATCTCTGAGAAAATAATCTAGACATGGTCATTAGCAGGATGGAACGTGTTTGCGGCGCCTGTTCCCTGGTGGCCAAATAAACTTGCAATACACGATGAAGTGCACAGCCGCACATATCGTGGTAACTGTTTCAAAAAGTCAGCAAACTATGCCAGCTGTTTTTATGATCACGCCGCTTCCGTTTGTACCTTGAGTATATATAGAGTAATAAACACTGAAAAGTAATGCAAGGTTAATAACGCACACTAAAGCAAATTAAAAACTGTGTTGGTAAAAACATCGCACATGTTGTGCTTGGAGCATGCGCCCGCGGCCATGAACGTCGCTCACAATCGCTGAGCTTTTTTTACGCAGGTCCGAGTGGGGTATTAGCATCACTTATCAATTTAGCCACGATAAACGAAAGTGCAGCGACAGTGGTCGACAAAGGAGCCTATTTGTCGACATTCAGTGTTCATCTATTTACGAAGGTGTCATGACACCTTCACCCTGGGTCAGCTCGGCATCAGGTACAGCTCATTTGACACAAGCCCGTAGCCAGGCGGGTGCATTGGGTACACGTGCACCTCCTCAGATTTGGGGTATACTCCTAATGTTGGTCTGTGCAACTCTTGCACTTAGGTTAGGGCTTCACGAAGATAGGATGGAACCTTTCCTTGCGTTGATACCTGCAGCCAACGTAACGAAAGGCGTTGGGTGCCAGTGCTTGGCTCGTGCCAAGTTTGTTACCAATCTCAGCGCCTGTATCATTGGTTGCAGTTGCCTTTTGAGGGATAGCCGACTTTTTTGTGTTGACAGAGGTTTTCTCTTCACCTTACAAGGTTTTTTGTTTTCTTTGGCATCGAGACACATTTAAGCGGTGGTAGCCAAAAAGGCAGCAATCGAATGTTGCGCGTCACTCACGCGCGTTATATGATAACCTGCCTTGACATGCGATTTTGAGTGGAATGTTGGGTGTTTATTTATGCTGCATGGTCTGTCGGCCCCGAATTTTGGCGTCTTTTTCTGTTCTGAAACGCAAGTTGTTCACATGAATTTCTCTGGGACCGTTCTTGTACATTTAACACAAATGATGCAGATACATGGGTTTCATTAAAATAGTGTATGTGAGACGTCTTTGTGAGAGTTTTTACCAAGACATGTTTGTTTGTTTTACACCGTGCCTACCGTTTTCATTAATTGGAATGATAACTCATGTGACGCTTTCAAGAACTACCGGTGTTTCTGGTAGTTCTTGAAAGGAAACATAATCAAACAGTCTGCGTTTGACTTGGCCGGGCTATTCATTCATGCCAGAAGATACTGGAAAATATCATAGTTTTGTGGAACGGGACCCTCCGGCCCACTGCGTCATGCTCCGCGCTCCATCAAATCCAGCCAATCACCGATCGACAGTGACTGCGGCCTGGCCGACGACCGCCGGTGTTGCCAGTTCTGGTCACGTGACACCTCCAAATATTCCGGATTGGAGTAAACCGATGGGCCAATTGCATTCAGCCTTAGAAGCAAGAACTCTCTAGTCGCAGCAAGGTCGTGGTCATGAATGTCTCTTTGCGGAATACAAACCGAGTGTTCCGGCTCAAAAACCCGCCAAAGTAAGGCATTTCCGTTTTACGGAAGTATCGGGACGGGTCATTAGTGTTACGAATAGACTGCTTGTTTGGACTATCGTCCTTGTCTGGTGTATCAAGAAGTACATAATGTTTCGGTCGCTTAACTCTGTGGCCGTTGTCCGGTGTTACGAAGTCCTGGGGACTGGATGACGCTTGGCTATCAGCCATGTATGTGTATGCGTCACACCCGGACTTTTTACTCATAGAACTGAAGGGATTCGAACCAGGGTCATCTTAAATGCGAGGACAAGAAAGGTTCTTCTAATACATCATACGAGGACAACGGTCCGAATAATTATCTCATCTGTGGAACATTCCCTTTCGACAAAAGTGGTGCATCGTAAATGAACCCACGCTTACAGGCCTATGTTTTCATGCCGTCCTATTATCATGTTTGGTTTGCTTACGCATGCGAAATTTATGATCCATACTTAGAAAACATTTATGCATTGCAGTACAGGCACAAAATGTGTGAGGTCTATTTCATTCCATCAGGCAGAAAAGCCTCAACCATTTATGTAAATTTGTCGTCAACACAGGACACATTCCTTTTTTCACATACTGTATGGGTGTTCTGCATCGAGTGGCGAAAAATATTATCAGGGGGCGCATGGAGCATTTGAATGTCTGCTGCACTCAAGACGGCGATTCGTCTTGAGGGCGGTTATTGTCTTGGGGAGCAAGGAAGCCGGCTGGAGCGGGACATGACGGCGAGAAATGCTGCACAATGCAAGGGCATGATAAACGCCTCTAAATGTCAAGTTTGCCTACTAGCTCGCACAAGAGGGTTACAGCTCGTTTTGCAGTTGTAAAGCTTGTTTGCAGTTTATTGTACACTCGCATAGTCACGTACAAACGTCCGTTGTTGACCAAACATGAGTGTGGCTAACGCAGCACCCCGAGATAGAGTCATGGCGAGCTTATCCGCGCTCCGGGGCTATTTTTCATACGAATTATTCACATTTTTGCTGTCGAATCACGTAACAAGCTACCGTGGCGCCACATCACGCCGCCTGCTGACGCAGTGCGCCGTGTTCATGTTTGACGGACCACCAATGTCCAGTTGGGTTAACTCCGTCTGCTTGCTTTAACCTGTTGGAGTTACTCAGGCTTATACCGCGGGGAACATACCCAGTGGTGTACGTCGTGTAATATCAACCGCCTGTAGAACACCACCGGCCATCTCTTGACGTCGTGTGGTACCGGGATATAGAGTTCAGGTCCAAGATCACGGGGCCTTGAAGTGGACAGACGCTACGTCTACGTACATTTGCATTGGGATTACCTTGGTGTCTGCGTCCTCCAATCACCAATCCTGTTTATTCCACGTTAGGGAGCAGAGTTCGACAATCTCCTCTGAACATTAAAAGCGACGGAGTATTTAGCTGGCACTCGTGTAAGAGGTGCATACCTTCAGGGTAATGATTTCATATATGTATATATATATATATATATATATATATATATATATATATATATATATATATATATAGTCCAGCACACACAAGCCTCCGCGCCCGTGCGTACATAGGTGGCTCCGCGTCCCGCTGACCAGAGCAGTGGGCTGCGTCAGCGTACATAGGTGGCTCCGCGCCCCGCTGACCAGAGCAGTGGGCTGCGTCAGCATACATAGGTGGCTCTGCGCCCTGCTGACCAGAGCGGTGGGCTGCGTCAGCGTACACAGGTGGCTCCGCGCCCCGCTGACCAGAGCGGTGGGCTGTGTCAGCGTACATAGGTGGCTCCGCGCCCCGCTGACCAGAGCAGTGGGCTGCGCCAAGTCGTCTACATTGTCTTGTGCACGCTCAACCACGAACTGATCAGGCGGATGCAGTGAGCAGACCTCGCGGTTGCTGGCGAGCCCCGCCTCCCTGGCTGCCAGCCCGCGGCGGCCGGCCGTCGACCGTCCCGGCCCCGACTGACCTGAGCCGGCGGCTCCTGAGGAGCTGCCGGTGTCGCCGGCGGACCCTGGCCTCCTCCGAGCTGGCCAGCACCAGCGCCGCCGCCAGCACCGCCGCCACCAGAACGAGCTTCATGACTGGCGCACGTGCGCCGCCGGCCGCCGCTTCGACACTTGCGCGCCACCTCACGGTGACGCCGCGAACCAGCGGGCCGCTCGGTCGTCCAGGCCGAACCGGGAGGGGGGCGGCGCCATGGCACGGCGCTGCTAGGCACCGGGGAGACCCAGCTCCCAACAGACTCGGAGCCAAGGGGCACAGGGACCATGTCCTTCCCATAAGCCCAGAGCTTTACGCTAGATACTGGGCGCTTTCGCAAGAATGCGACCGAAATTCGCAGTAGCTCGCAGAAAATATGGCATTTGACTCCCTCTCCCCGACGAAAATTATGTCTACGTTCTGGCTCTCATCACCACACGGGGCACTATCAGGTACTATGGAGACACGACTCATATAACACGCCTGGTATCACCAAACGCCTTGTGGTGGCGCCAATGGTGCGGGTCGAGTCTCTTCGTTGTCTAGTATCACTATGCCGTGGTGTAAAGCGTGCGTCTCTTGTGTCTGGTGTCACCACGTAGCGACGAAAACGAGGTCTGCCCGGTGCCTGGCATCTTCATGTAGTGATACAAGTGACCTCCCCGACGTTAGGCTGTGCCATGTTGTAATGCGTGTGGTGTCCTCTTGGTGTCGAACACTTGTCATCACGAGCAATCTGTTCGGAGCCGACCCGGTCCGTCAGACGTGTTCGACATTTGCGCATCGAATTGCATTTTCTTTCGCGATTGTCATGCAATTGCAGATGGTTTTGTGTTTCAAAGGTTAGATAAAACAAGGGAAGCTTATCACTCGGCATGTGCCACCATACCAGACGGCAGCCATATCATGTGTATGGAGGGCCAGGAACTAGCAGATATATGACTTACAACCCACCTAAGTGCCAAATAATATGCATTCATCTGAAATCTTGCAGAAATAATTATTTTTATTGTGTCATTTTGGTCTTGTAAGAGTTTGTGCATAATGATCTGCCAACACAGGCGGTTTTGGCGCACGCTGGACGGGCGTACAAAATCACAGGTATTAAACCGCGCAATATTCGGCTTTCCTCTCCAATCTCCTGTCTGGCCACGATGGATAGTTTCGTAGTAGAATGGAGCCGAACAATTTTTGGCTGCGTATTTTAATGTCATCACGTAACTACCCCCTCCCCCCCCGAACGAAAACCCGTCATAACATCAGCACGGGGCCACTGTACAAGCTGCAGCATCGTAAGTTCATGGGATATGGTGTTTTAGTCAGGTTTAGAGCACAGTGAAGTGCTACAGACGGCCCAAACGCCTCTAGTATCAGACAAAACGAGTGTCCTCTAGTACTTCAGGTTTGTTTTTAGTGACCGATGTCTTCGCTTGCAATGGCATGCCATTTAGCAGAGCGATTGTCTTTATAATGCAGGTGGCAGATGCAAGTTACACGCACATATTGCTTTTACTGGATTAAAGTCTGGATTTAAGATGGTACTAGCTTTATTCATGGGTCCATATTGCCTTTTCAGTTTTCTCATGCTTTCTGCTTACGTTCCGAAGCGCTCAGCGTGTTAGTGTGCAACTTGGGCATGCTGATTTTAAATTTTTATACATTTGCCTTGCAAATCCCCACTCATCTTATCTTCGGTGAACTAGGTACATTTTCCTTTCAAGCATAGCATTTCTACACTTATTTTGCAGAACGTGATGCCACTCTGTTTTTGACTTACCCATGTGTGATGGCTGAACCTGGTGTCGAATCAAAGTTTAGCAGCCATTTTTCCATAGCTGACGCTTTGAACATCATTGAATATGATACGAGGTATGCTACATGTTTTTCCAACTCCTTTCCAGTAAAAAAGAAATTCACCGTTTCTTTGTATCTACTCTAGGTAATGATCGTGACAATCATGTGCTCACCAAATGACATGTTTTGAACCGAACTACCCAGTGAGATTGCACGGATGTGAAAAGGCGTGGCAAGAGCACAAACAGCGTCATTGCCTTTGTCTCGGAAACTTTACAGTCTAACTTTCAAAGCAAAAAACTTTCAAAGTGTGCTTTGTAAAAAACGACGATGAGTGCCGCCGCATTTGTCTTGAATTTGAGAATCCATGCCAACTGGTAGTGCCATGATGCACTTGGGAAGGTGTCACCCGTTGTTTACACACCAGAAACAGGCGCTCGAGGAATGTGCTCACAAGCTCTAGGAAACGTGCCGGGATCTGGGATCTCAGGGTGTATCCCCCCTTCCCGTCAAATTACCAGTATCATATCCTATGGGGAGCCAGCGCAGTCGGCCCCAAACTGTCACCACCGGTCAACTGCGTCTCCACAGGCATGTTCTTCGCTCGCAGTACCAATGGGAATCTGTCAAAAAGCACAACGTGAAATGATAAATGATTCCCTTACTTGTTAGGAGTTGCTTTGACGTCTTGGGTGCGGATCAAAGCCCAGTGATGGAGTGTCTCTTGCATGAGTTGGGTATGCCATTCGTGATGAATGTAAGCCAGAGTAATTATTTTATTCCGGAGTTAGTTACAGCACACCCGCTGATTTATTTAATCCGGAGTAAGTTACAGCATACCCGCCTATTTATTTTTGGTATCTGTCTCGTTGCCAGGAGTTTGTCTCTGCAAAGGCTGGCCTTAAGATAGGCTCTGTGAAAGGAGAATATACGGTAGCGGCACTTCCTTTGGGGAAACTGTTTGTGTCCATGGCGGGCAAAGCGCAAAGGAAAAGCATGTCAGGCAATACAGATTCTGTTACGCGTTTATTTGCTTGGAAAATTGCCTGTTGGAGTCAGAAAGTCCTGCTCTTATGAATAAAAATGAAATAGCAGTACTTTCTGTTGTGACGAACCGTTCTAAGCACATACTGATGCCTCGTTTCCGAATTATTGAGTCTGCGGCCGTAAGTATTACCGTCCATGACAGTTTTGAGCGTAGCTGCCCGGGAACTGTTAAAGGGAATACTTCACGTTTGAGGATATTTAAGCAAGCATCAGATGTGAAGGAACAAGCCCAATTATAACTATTGGTATATCATGAAGTAGAAGACTGCTCTACACAACGCAATTTCTCGGTTTACTTAATATGCTCCTCCATATTTCATTGATTACGGCATCGTACCACGCACAGCATTGGTTGAGAGCCAATTGGTGACTGTTATATTTGAAAGTCGTGCTCACGAACGCCAGATATGAACGACTTGATCATTGTATTTTTATCGGCCTCGATCTCTGCATGGCTTATGGAATGGCAGGATTTAACACGCCTCAGGTGGGAGGGTCAAATTGACCACTCCTCCCAAAAGATTTTTCCGGAATGGTTTCCGGACGGTGCGGCGTAGCCGTGTCAAATTCTGCATAGCTGTAGACAGTTTAGTAGCGGATTGTCTGGTATCACAAATTTAGACACACCTTGTAAGGTCGCTAACCTATGGCAGGTTAAAGTCATGTCATGGTTTCAGCGAAGGCAATTTCTGGGGAATCGCTCAATCTGATCCAAAAACGGAGTGTTAGACGAAGCCAATACACCTCTGAGATGTTTGTTTAGCAAATAAAACAATTGAATGAACAAAGTACATTGACCTAGGGTCAGATATGAAGGTCAGACCAAGATCAAAACCAACCTGTTTTATTACTCTAGGGTTTGCTGTATGGGGTAGTTTCTGGGGCTGATTTCTAGTTTATTGATTACAAGAACCGCATTATGCACATTCAATGAACGTCTTAAAGGTCAGAATAAGTCACTGACCTAAAATGGCCCAGGTCAACATTTTTTTTTAAAGATCATGCTGCCTAGCGTAATCTTTGACACTTATTAAATTGCAAAACCCAAGCCCTCCTTATATTATTTTGGTTACTATGACCTTCAAAAGGTCAAAGAAGGTCACTGATCTTAAATGAGCATGAGTTGTTATGCTTAGAATAGCTATCTAGGTTTCGGGGACCCTTTGGAGACCAACTTGTAATATGACCTTGTTTTACCTTATTGACCCGAAGGTTATGACCTAGAAACATCAAACTTTGACCTAAGTGAGTTCAAGTACAGGTCAACACATCCTGTAAATGCAGTGTCATTATCTCTCTTAGTTTTTGAGATCCTAGGGGAGTTAGATTGACCCCCACCAGAGCGCAGGGTATCCAACCGGCCACCCAGGCGCGTGTTAAATGACGTTAATTTGATGTCATGAATGCCAAGGTGACCCCAAAATACTCTCCCCAAGCTACTCCTCCATTATCTGTGACGTGTAGCTCAAAAAATGGGGGGGGGGGGGGGGTGGTTAGTACTTAAAAAGGGCAGAGTTGTGAACTGCATCGATAGGTCTTCAACACAGCTAATTCAGTTCCAAACCTCATATGAATGTGGAGCGCTCCCTTTAACAAGAAATTTGGCATGCGAATACATCACACCAATCTGTATTGTGACCGGATGGTGCTATTGAAATTTAATGGGACAACCAGCAGCTTCGGCAATTCAAATGCGCAAATTCTGTTGCAATTTATATCCGTTATTCATCCTTTGCCTTTCATTCCATCCTCACATTCAGACTTCGAATACTTGGTTGCATGAAGTACCAGATCTCGTTGAAAAAAGTGGATGACGATTTTTGAACGCACAGGAATTGGTAAAAGTGATAGAACTAGCGATTTCTGGCGCCAACTTGACAGTGCCAGCAGGATGAAGCCTGGCATCCCCGTACTAGTCACCATTCCCCAGACGGTTATGGTAGGTTTACAGATGGCAATAAGCCGTTGCTAGCTTGTTGAAAATGCCAGGCAGTACTGGAAAACGCATTGACAGTGGTGAAACGATACTGTCACGACTAAAATGTGACGCGGTTATGACGCCAAAGAGAAAGACTCCCACAAACATGAGACTCTTCACTCGATGTGGGTTGGTTAACTGATTTAGTGGCACTGTGCCCCCAGCGATGATTGGGTGCCTCGGACGCAGAGTAATGGAACCTGCGCAGGCGTGCATCGTCCAACGTAACGTAAGGTAGCTCAAGGGCAGCCCAAAGCCCAGGTTCGGCGGCGCAGATGCAGAGAATCCCCTTCATGGCCCGATAGCGCGTTTAAGAATAGAAATACCTGGTCATCCGTGACATATTCATATTCAGATTCAGATTCAGATTCAGATTGCATCATACGACAAATCCATAGC